AACTCCAAATACTAGAACCGGGATTTGGGATGTGCAGTGTCTGAATAGGACAACAAAATAATGAGAGGGAAATTGGCTTTTTGGCCCATGCAGACAAGAACTAAGTTACAACTATTATATAATGCAATTAATGCAATTAATTTGTTGTCTAGTTATTTCCAAATTCTGGCAAGTAATCAGTTGAGGTCGTAGGCTTTCATGGCCGGCATCCATAGTTTTTTTGTGGGTTTTTTTGGGCTGTGTGGCCATGTTCTGAAAGAGTTTCTTTCTGACGTTTCGCCAGCATCTGTGGCTAGCATCTTCAGAGAAAACAGAGAAAATCAGTTGAGGATTTCTAGCCAATGTCTTGTGTGATTCTATGTGGTCTGAGATTTCGTGGCTTCATGGTACATGCCTCCTAGGGGCAAAAGATGACATGACTATACTGCAAGGCCAAGAGATTATATCACAAAGGAATTTGCATACCGTAAAACCCTGTGGCACAGTGATTAAATGCCGGTACTGCAGCCATAAGGTTGTGAGTTTGATCCCAGGCAGGGCTTCAAGGTTGAATCAGTCTTCCATCCTTTTGTAGGTCGGTAAAATGAATACCCAGCTAGTTGGGGGCAATTTGCTTACAGATTGTAAACCACTTAGGGCCTTTGCAGACTACCAGAAATAATGCAACTTGAGTCCACTTTAACTGCCTTGACTCAGTGCTAGGGAATCATGGGAAATGTAGTTTTTTCTGAGGCATTGAGTCTTCTCTATAAGAGAGTTCTGGTGCCACAATAAACTACAGTTCCCATGATTCACTAGCAATGAGCCAGGGCAGTTAAACTGGACTCAAGTTGCTTTATTATTATTATTATTATTATTATTATTATTATTATTATTATTATTATTTCTGGCAGTCTGTAGAGAGTGTTGAGTTCACTGACAAGCAGTATAGAAATGTAAATACTATTGCTATTGCTATAACCAAATCAGCTGGAGGAGGAGGAGAAAAATAAAAAATTCTTTCCCTAAGCAATGTTGGATCTCTGATTCACCAGGTCTTTCTCATAGAGTCTGATGAAGAAAAATCCCCTTCAGTATTGTTAAACTACATAATTTGATGGTAGTCAACCACTTAGATGGTTTTATGGGTGGGAAGGGACAGACAAGCTCGGTAAAGATAATACAATCAATGGTGACTAGTCTGTATATTTCACCTACAGGATAAGAAGTGATGAGGTTCTGGATGTCAGTCACTTTGGGACAACACTGAGTTAGTGCTAACGCTTTAGATTCTGCTTGGAACCTTCCCATAGCCATCAGATTGGCCACTGTTGAGAAAAGACACTGGACTAAAAGAGGACTTTGGTTTGATCTGTCAAGGCTGGTCCTATGCTCTTAGATATCTTAGATTTGTGGGTTTCTTGTCCCCCACTTCTTCCTTCTGAAGGTTCTTAGGTTTTCTTGTTCCCCCACATTCTTCCTTCTGGAGCTACTTACATTTTCTTTTCCTCTACCCTTTTCTCTTCAGATGAGCTTTTAAGGGATTAGTGTTTTTGTGGGTTTTTTGAGCTGTAAGGCCATGTTTTAGAATGGGGTCGGCAACCTACGGCCCATGGGCCAGATGCAGCCCGTGGAGGCCTTTGGACTGGCCCCTGCCCAGTCCTGCCGCTGTCGCCGCTGCCACTGCGCCACCACCGCTGCTTTCGTGGCTGCACCGCCACCGCCGCTTTCGCATCTGCGGGGGTCCTCCAGGGCGCCATTTTGGAATCCAAAATGGTGCCCCGGAGGAGTCCTGTGGTGGCGCTGGGCCTCTCAGAGGCCCAGCTCAGCTGAGGTAAGCCTCCTGGGGGGGCCCCGCGGCAGCGCTGGGCCTCTTGGAGGCCCGGCGTGGCCGAGGGAAGCCTCCTGGGGGGCCTCCGCAGTGGCACTGGGCCTCTCGGAGGCTGGCGCAGCCAAGGGAGCCATCCTGGGGGCCCCCTGCCATTTTCCGCATGCGCGCACAATGTGTGGGGGGATGGCAGCCACCATTTTTTTTCCAAAATGGTGGCGTGCACATCCCCATGCCCATGCAGGGTGGGAAGCATGCACGTGTGCAAGCGGGCATGTGCGCCGGCCCCCAGTGCCATTTCCCCCCCCTCCCAGCCCGGCGGCAAAAAAGGTTGCCGACCCCTGTTCTAGAAGAATGTATTCATTTCACCTGCACCTGTGGTTTGCATCTTCAGAGAAAGGTGGCATGGAAGTGTGTGGTGTATATATACTGTGTGACCCTTGGTTGAGAGGATTAGCATATAAATCTGTGTATTGTTCTGTTAAGGCAAGGCCTCAGGGTGGGAAGATATGTGAGTAGGATTAGTGTCTGTTTAATTAATGGTCCATTATCTGCTAGGAATCCCCCAGATCCTGGATGAAGTTCATTTGTATTTGCTGAGTTCTGATTTTGGTGGTTTTGAGGACTGGTAGCTAAACTTTGTTTACTTTCAGGGTTTCTTATTTCTTTTGAAATTGTCCAGGTGTTTGTGGATTTCAATGGCTTCCCCGTGCATTCTGACCTGATAGTTGTTGGCATGATCCATAATTTCAGTGTTTTTAAATAGCATTTTGTGCCCAGGTTGGTTTATAATGTGTTCTGCTACTTCTGATTAATCTGCCTCACATATCCTCCCACCCTGAGGTCTTGCTTCAACAGAACAATACACAGATTTACATGCTAATCTTCTCAAACAAGGGTCACACAGTAAATATACTTCACACATATCCATGCCACCATTCTCTAAAGTTGCCAGTCACAGCTGCAAGTGAAACGTCAGGAATACATTCTTCTAGAACATGCCTCACAGCCTGAAAACCCCACAAAAACCTATGGATGCCTGCCATGAAAGACTTTGACTTCACATTTTAGGGGATTGTTCTAAGAGATTTAAGAAGCAAGGGTGATTGATTAATTCTGTGAAACACATGTAAACTATTACTGGAAAAG